GTAGGTGTTGTTAATTGTTTAGTTAAATGAGTTTAAAAAGTTTTATTTCAATATCTACTCTCGTATTAAACACTAAAATAGAAACGATTAGACGGTCTTTGAGGCATAAATGATGGTAATGTTCAATGAATGCAATCCATGGCATTGAAGGTTATTGAATGTATTGATTGATTTTAAATTAATAATTTATATCATTTTATATCATGTATTCGTTTTCTATAAGAACTTTAAATATCTTTTGTTTCAAACTTTTGCTACATTTGCTCTTTTGTTTTGTCAGGTGTTGTGTGCTATGAATTCAGGTAAGCATTAGATAACAAGTGATTTTCAACACGTCTTCCATGAATGTCAAACTGATTACCGAATGGCCCAAACAGTGTCTCTCATCTTTATAATTATCCTTCAGCTCATCGTTTTAAGTGTTGTGTTGAGCGCACCCAACCATGTATTGGACAGTGAGATAATGCACCTCAAAGAACCGATTAGACCGCCGTCCATATCTAGCATTAAGATTATTGATAGATTGCGGTCTAAAGTGATTAATAGTGCCGGTCCTGAGAGGAGAATGTTTTTCCCATTCAATCGGATCATCCTTTCAATGATAGCGCCGCGACTCATGAGATTCCAGTTTGATATGATGTTAAGCTCTATCATCGCTGAAATGGTCAGAAAGTTTGTCGTCCCTATAATGGGAACGATTTCTGGTAATAATGAAGACAAGGATCGGCCAAATCTTTTGGGCACTTTGTTTCCGTCGTCGTCTTCGTCGTCGGGTTCAGCGAAGGCTCCTTTCGATGTCCAACAAATGATTAGCAAAACTCAAAACGCTCTCCAATCGCAAGCAATTAATGTTCAAAACGCTGTTCGCACGGCTAATGGGATGCCGTCATTGCCCACACCCTCTAAATTGACTGACATTTCACAGTTAAATAGCAAACAAATTAATTTATTGGCCGAAGCCCTCAGTCAGACTTTAACGCAAAATAATTTGGGAAATTTCCAAAATAATGATTTTTCTCAAATCAATCCTCAAAGCCAACCAATACAACAGATGAGTCCTTTAAACATACAATACATTCAGCCTCAGAAACCATTGACTTCGACTGAGCCTCAAGTACTCATTGGTCATCCAATTCCTATCAATTCTGTAGCAAATAATCAATTGAATTCACTTTCAACGCAAACATTGGACTCACAGCTCGACTCACAAAATGAGATTCAAACGACTGAAAAGAAGAAAAAGTCAAAAAAGCCTTTAATTGAAGAAACAGACACTAATATACCCGACTTCCAGATGACTCACTTTAGTCTTAATTCATCAGAAGAATTGGTTACTAAAAAACCTAAAAAGAAAAAAGCGTCAAAAGATATACAAGTGAATTATGTGGACAACAATGTCGCCAATTATGGCAATCAGGAGTCGACACACCATTACATCCTTAATGAACACATCTTACAATCCGATCAACATTCAAAACAGCATTCATATCAACCCAATCCCAATCATTTGGAACAATTTGTAGACCCAACTCAACTTGTTCATAATACACACCAACAACTCGATCATAATACACACCAACAACTTGATCATAATCCTAACCAACATTTGGATCATAATTCTGTCCACAATTTAGACCACAGCCATAATCAAAATTTGGACTCTAATTCTAACCAGAATTTAGCTTATAATCCCAACGAGCCAATTTTGGTTCATAACCAGAATCAATATCTCGATCACAACTCTGACCAGAACTCCAACCAACATCTGGATCAGCATAAAAGTCAATTATTAGATCCAAATACAAACTATAATTTAGACCAACAAACAAACCAACATTTAGACCATTATTCAAACCAAAAGATTAAACATTATTCGGACCAAAATCTAGATCAACCAAACGATCTGACTTCTCAAATAAATCAACTCTCGGATCAGTACTCAAATCACGGTTCGGAACAATATTCAGATCGGTATCCAAAGAAACATTTGAAACAACTGATGGACAAGCATTTGGATCATCAGTTTTTAGAGTCTAATTTGAAAAATCATAAAATTGTAAACCGAGTGTTTGAAGAAGAAGAGCGGGCGAGTCGTTGGAACAATGTTTTAATGAATATGGATAGACATGACAGCAAACCAAATGTTAAACACACAAAACTTTACAAACTTATATAAAATTATTGAACAAATATTGTTTTGTGTTAACTAATGATTAGATTGGATTACAACTTGTGGTCAATAATCAAAAAATTAAAAGGTGTTCCTATTCTTCATTATTTTTGTAATAGTAATTCATTTAGTATTCATTATATAATAAAATATCATTAATTCATTAAATATGTTGCAAAATTATTTCATTATTTTTACAAATACTAATTAATTAAACCACTTTTAATATTATCTGAGAAAATGTTTAAATTTCAGACAATGATTAGATAATTATAATACAATTAACATTGATTATGCATTAAAGGTTGGTATAATTAGAAAATTAATTATCTGTATAGATATGAATAAATTATATAATTATTCTATTAATATAAAGGTTATTGCCATTTAAAAAACAACAACACTTACTAGTCATACATGTAATAAATTAATGATACAAATAATTGTCAAAATTTATATCAGATTTGTTTAAAATAACAGAAAGAAAGGCCTATAATATTCATAAAATTCTTTAAAACAATCTTAAAATACTTTTAATATAGAATTAGCAACAAAAACAAATATTTAATAATCCTTTTCTAATGTAGTTTCTATATTAAAAAATAAGAAATATAAATAAATAACACAACTCTATATGAATTACCAGAAAGAGTACAAACGTAAGTGAAGTAATGTATTTCTATGAGAGACTCAAAGTTCTTATAACTCAAAAATTACTTGTTTGATTTTGACAAACTATATATCAAATTGTTCAAAATAAAAATTGATTCGATACCTATATCAGGATTTTTGTAATAACCCAATTGAATAGGAGTATTTTGCTCATAGAAAACAAATTTACAAAATCTCAAATGCTTGCCATTTAAAATGTACTTGTTCAATTTTAACCACTAGTATATCAAATTATTTATAATTAAATATAGGAGAAATAATTATTATATGGATGTTTGATATTCACTTAAAACATTAAAAATTGACATAGAACAAGTAACTACCTGGTTTTTACAATGTAAAATTAAAATATTGTAAACTTGACAAATTATATATTTTGTGTATTTAATTATGAACAATTTGACATAGTGATTGTTAAAATTGAACAAGTACATTTTAAATGGCAAGCATTTGAAATTTTGTAAATTTGTTTTCGATGAGCAAAATACTATTATTCAATTGGTTTATTACAAAATCATGATATAGGTATCGAATCAATTTTTATTCTGAACAATTTGATATATAGTTTGTCAAAATCAAACAAGTATTTTTTGAGTTATAAGAACTTTGAGTCTCTCATAGAAATACATTACTTCACTTACGTTTGTACTCTTTCTGATAATTCATATGATATAAATGCCATATAAAGGAGCAGTAATTATTGCATAAAATGTTGTAATAAACTTCTATTGGGTTTTATAGACAAAAAAAAACATTTCATTTAAAATCATTTATGTATTTAATTTAAGCTCACATTTGAATTTTCAATCATAACTTATATGCCATTGATTTCGATATCAATAATTAAAATTTGATGTGTTTTTAAAAATAAGGCATAAAATTGCAAATATGGGCCAAATGTTGACTTTATTAAAGTTTGTAATGCATTTTGGCTGAAGGGGTCAGTCATCGATAGCACTGACATGTTTTAAAAGTTGCGTTGAATCGATAAGTTTAGATGAAATTGAAGTTCAAAATAAAAATTAAACGTTAAAACCATTTTTAGATTTATTAAGTTTTGAAATATTTCTTAAATTTAGACAATTTCTAAAACTTCTGTCACAAATAGTTTGCATAGAGTTTGAGGGAAAGATTAGAGGAAAAAATATTTAATAATAACTTAAAGTTATGTTCGCTTTCTTTGGGATAATTAAGAAAGAGGTCTGTCCTGTCCTGTCCTGTCATCGCTCTGCTTCTCAATTGGCTTTAATTTTGATTAATTTCTGTTTCCAAAAAGGATTTATCATAAAAATTTCATTTGTTTTTATTTTCAAAAGATTCCTTTTGTTTATATAATAAAACAGATTCTAATTGTAATTAAAATTAAAACTTTTTTAAAACAAATAAATTTAAGTAAAATTGATTCTACAATAAGTAAAAATAATTTTACATGAAGTCCAAAGACTTTTGTTTTATTTCATTTAAATGAGCGATTAATTTATGCTCTGCTCTGACAAATAAATAGGACATTAAAAGCAAATCAATTTTAATGACCTAATAATAAGAATGGATGACATTTGAGGCAAATTCGTTACTTTGAACGCCAACCAAGAGATCATATTATATACTATACACACATTATACACATATTTAACCCTGGATTCAGTGTTTTAGTCATGAAATCTTTAGTCGTTGTTATCATATATTCAATGTTTTACATAATAAAAATTATGAGAGCGACTGATATCATGATGAATAATCTGTACTGATTTGTCTTATTTCAATGAATTTCTACTCATTTAGTGTTATTGTGTTGAATGTGTGGATCATATCCTGTTTATGGCGATTACATAAGCGCTCATATCATAAGGTGTGTGCCTATTGTTCACATCTTTGTATTATAGCCCACAAAACATATATAATTGTTGTTTTCTTTAATACACAAGTCTATCATTTGTTTTGAAAATTTGTCATTTTTGGTCTTTCGGTTAATAAAACAGTTTTACGCACCCATTCATACATTATTATCACTATAATTGTTATTATTGGTGATATACAGTAGACAACAATTCTTTATAAAATCATTGAAATGATATAAAAAACATAAAATACATTTTTAGCAAAAATTAAAGCCTAATTTCAATTGATAGCATTTTTCAGTGCATAAAGTCTCATGAATATGACGTCAATATTTAATGTTAAAATCTCGTATATATTTGAGATAAAATGCAAATTTTTATCAAAATTCTTGATTCTCTGTTTTGTCAAAAAATATTCATATAATAAAATTTGTAATAAAAAAGGTATGTTTTGAATGTGAAAGTAAAGTCTAGTCATTGTTTATTTTAAACCGTTTTATTTTACATCTCATGCTATTTAAGGATACCGTCGATATGTCTTCAAAACTAATAATCGCTCAAATTTTAATCGTATTTATATGTCTTCAATTGAATTGTGTTTTGGGAGTTAAAAAAGACCAAAAACACAACACAACGCTTGAAAAGCAGTCATTATATGATACCGAACGGGACGGACGACAGTTTGCAGGCGGTTATAGCCCAGGATTTGGAGGAGGTAAATCACCATCATAAATGTAATCATCATAAAAACTAATCATAAACTTTAAATGTGTTGGAGATTACGGTTTGACTGGTTTTGGAGGTCCTCTGGAAGCGATAATCATAGGTCTGTGTGTTGTGGCGGGGTTTGGCATAATCGGCATTCCCTTCATTTTGCTGTTTCTGAGTTTCTTCAACGGCGGAGGTCTCGGAACCACTGGTGGTATCGGAGGCTTGAATTTAGTGCCGACGACCACAACCACTGTCGCCGGCCGTAAGCGACGAGAAATCAATTCACTTTTGCCTGAAGTGAATCCAATGCTTCAGCAAAAGTTATTTAATATATTTGATAATTTCATTCAAAATCCCGATAAGATTAAACTAATTGAAAAAGTTTTCGATACCATTATTGGACGCAAATAATGTGTTACTTTACAAAAATACAACACTTTTAATCATTTAATTAAAAGATATTTTTAATTTCTATTCTAAATTATTTTCAATGATTATTTGTCTGGAAATAGAATTAAATTCACATCACTTTTAATATAATTTAAAAAGTTTTAAATTTTGTTTCTTTAAAAAATATAAATTATATATTTGTTAAAAATAATGGAAACTTTGTTTAATAATTATAAACTCTAAAACATTTCAAATTATTTATAAACAAATTCTCAAAAACTATATATTTGTAAAAATTAAAACTTTATTGATATTTGTTGTTAAAAATTACTAAACTTGAAAATTGAATTTTAAGTAAATAAAAAATTTGTTTTTCTTAATATTTATTTGTACGAAAACATGTTAACTGAATGTTAACCAAATGTTAGATATGAAGGAATGGCCAAAAAACATAACAAATAGAAAACAAAATCTGTTATAAATTATAATCGATGAAAATGTGAGGTAAAGGGAGCTAAAAAAGTATCACAAATTGCTTGTAATATTATATAACATATAATATAATAACGTTATGTAAGTGAATGTAATGTTTATGAGTGAAGTGAGCATTGAGAGCATCCTGGTTGCCTGGGATGCCTGCGATGTACGACCAAATAGTAGCTACCAGTTGTTATACTACTGACCTACTAGTGTGTGACGTAATCCCGTTTAGTTAAGCCCCCGGAGGTCAAGGTCTCAATTAAATAGATATCAATATTGCCGTAAAGTAGAAGTTCCACTCCATTCGGGTATTCATTCCCCCACTATATAAAAGCCGATCACTTTTTTAGACACTATTATTCAAAAAGTATTTATATTTAGAGTGGCTTTCGTTAGGTTTTCAAATGAGAAGCTTTTCTCCAAACATTTAGTCGAAACCACTTACAAAGTGTAAGTCATTTTGTGTCACTTTCTTTCAATATCTTTTCTATTGCTTTCTTTACAAGTTTTTTGATCGATAATAAGAAATTTTAATTTTATGAATCATTGATTTAATAAGTGATTTATTAAAAAATTTGTTTCATTAGTCAATTCAATGGCCAAAACAAATTTTGTGCCAATTCTTGTCCTTTTCGTCATTATTTGTGCCAATCATTTAATTCACGCCAACATCAAAGAAGACGCCAACGAATTCATAAATGGGATTATATCTCGAAAGATGGACGTCGATAGACAGGTATTTGCATATTATTTACTATTATATCATCATTTAAATACTATCTGTTAATACTGTTAATAATCTTACAACACTTTATCATGTAAACGCCTATAATATAAGTTAGATGTATCAAAAAGTCTTTCTACGTTTATTAACTATAAATTATGATGGATACAAAAACATTTTTTATAGGCATATAATTATTTTCTATATTACGTTACTATTTACTGTATATTGTATTCTAGTTATTTTGTATTCTATATTATTTTGTACATTAAATTATATTATTTCTATGTAACTATAAATCACAGATATTCTAAATTCAATTCATTAACTATTATACAAAACAATCATAATTTATTTAACATAAACTTATTTAATAAGCAATTGGATTATTTTCACAACAATTTGTGACATTGACATTGAATTTAATACATGTTTAAAAAATATAAAAAATTGTTTGAACACAATTTGTTTGTGGATTTAAACCCATTTTTATGCCGACAAATATGTTTATGAAAGAGGAAATGCTGACAAATACTAAAATGTTTATGTTTTGCAATTAATAGGGTTTTATAGGGAGTTCTCTATTTGGTGGACCTCTTGTGAGTTTGTTTGCCCACAAATACAAATTGTGATCCCATTAAGTAATAGGACTTTATCGCTGTCAGGCTATCGCCGCTTTCCTGCTCTCTCTTCCTGCTTTGCCGGCACTATTAATGGCACCGTTAGCTGTGGCCGGACTGCGACCAACAATCGGCGCCGTCGGACAGTTCATGAATAGCATTAACTCCGGGGCCGGGCTTTCGCAGGGAATCGCAGCACTGCTCACACAACCCAATGTAGACACAGAGACGGCCGCATCTAATTTGGCCACTTCTACATCCAATGCCGGTTCACTCAATGGTCTGTTCACTTCATTCCCTAATTATCATACAGTATTTGAAACTCATTTATTATATGTCATTACGCGGGCATCAGTTTTTATAAAAGTCATTTACAATTATAGAAAATTCTTCAAAATTCTTTAGTTCATTTCAATTGATTTTATTGCAAAGTTTAAGCCACGATATCGTTAAATGTATAGCATTACAACATTTCACAAATTATTAAAATGTATATTAAGTTTGCGTCACTAATGATCTTACATTAAATCTGATGAATGCATTCAGAGCTCTAAAGCTATCAATAATTAAATTTTTAATAAATTTGTAGATAAGATAAATTAGAAATTTGTATAAAATATTTTAATCGATTTAATTGACTATTAAATTAAATTTAGTCTAACATTACCTACATTTTGAATAAAATCATAAAAATAATAATTCAAGTTATATTTAGTTTGTTATTGAAGTGAAGTAATGAAGTAATTAGCATTCGTGCCAGTAGTCATTAATTTATTAATTAGAGATTAAGTAATTTTATTAATTAGTTTTTTTATATGTCATAATTTGTTTGAACGCTAATCCCGATCAACAGCACCGACCTCTCCATTCACATCAGCTCTGAGATCTATATCGGAGCTTATATTTAGCCGAAGACTATCACAACAATTCTTCAATAGAACGCCTCCTAAGCAACCGAAACCACCGGTAGAGCCGACCGATTCAAAACCGGGCACCGATTCGTCGGGCGAGAGCCCACAGGTTAGGTTGGGTTCACTCATGCTATCACTCAAAGAAGTCTATGGTATACTGAGGAATGGTCTGCGACGGTATGAGATCACAGACAGTGACTGTCAATCGAGGATTATATGCGAAATCCATCAGAAAGCTGTGGGCAGAAGCGTATCGTTGGGTTCATTCACTGCCAACTTAATGGACATAATTGGGTAGGGATTGTATAATTGGGTTATAATTATTATATTATTTACACAAATATTTTGCATTTATATCTAGCGTTGAGAAGCATTTGGAGGGATCGCAAGCGCTCAACGAAAAGGCCAAGTCTTTCATTAAAGACTTTGTGAGGGCCGCCAAAACCGGACTCTCACATAATGACTGCTCATCGGTGTTCAGTCGGTGTCCCTCAACCCCTGTACTAGAATTGCCTCATTTGCCTAATTTTAACCGCAAGAATGGCATAAATAGGGATTACTTGAAAACAAAGCCACATATTTATGACATAAATCAGTTATCGCTTCTTCACTCAAAAGCCCACAAACCAAACCGATTGGCCATCAAAACAACATTTGCAAAGACACCGCAAACTGTCAATTATTATTCAAACATCAAACAAACTGTGATCTAATCAAATGTTTTTCAAGTTTTCATATCAAAAAACTAACATTAAAAATAAAATTTATATTTAAGATCTTTTTCTATTAGTTGTATTTAATTTATGCACAAATTATTAAATGTCTTGCATTTTAGGTTAAATCAAATCAAAAATACTATTTTAAGTACAATATATTATCATATATTTTGATTTAATATGTACTGTATATTAATGTCTGTCATGTATAGTAATGTATAGTAAAATCGATAAAAACTAAGCAATTATTTGAAGACCTGAGGACAAGGGTTTGTATGAATTGGATTGTGAATGCGATTCCACTTAAAATATATTGAAATAGAAATACAAATACCTTTATATAAATCATATACAGTATAAGTATTATAAAAACTGTTATTTATAACATGTTATCTAATGGTTAGGCGTAGACTTACTGGTAATGAATGTGAGTTTCTTGTGTTCAAACAACAGGTTATTCAAAGAAAATATAAGTTTAAACGACGAAAACGGAAGCGTTGTATATAAGCCTCTCTGTGTTAGATGTGCCCGAAGTTACACTAAAGCTAAACCCCTAAACCCCACACCCTCTCAAAACACATGTCCTAAAGCTATATATTCATTGCTTTTCCTAACATATTATGCATAACTTTTCTGCACTTCAGTTCAACTCTAGTTTTTTCGATACTGTTCTCAGACTTTGATTTTCATCATTTCTCTCATCCGTAAGTATTTATTTAGAAATTGATGCAAGAATTCAATCAATTTCTTTTAATTTAACTTTAATTCCTCTTTTCATACTTCATATCAGTTTTATTTTTAAATATTTAATTAATTTAGAATATATTTAGAAATTCAGTGAAATTATTTGATAAACTTTATACTTTCAAAGTTATAAGGTTATGAAGATATGTCAAAGATATTTTAATCACTTGATATATTTTTATGATTAATTAAAAATAAAATATATTTATTTTATTAGTTTTATTAGATTTTAATATTCATTTAAAATTTACAGGTCTATTATAACATCTTTTAATTGCTTAATGAATCGTAAGATTCGTTATATAAATATTTAATATAATATTATAATTAAAACAAAGCATAATTATTAAACAAACTAACTTGTAAATATAAATTTAAATATAGATAACACAAACCAACAACAATGAAGAAGTTAGAAATTAGTATTTACTTCATCTTAATATTGTCATCGCTGTATTTGGTCTCATGTGTCGATCAAAAAAGACAATCGGTTCCCAGTGTAGGCTCTGGTCGGCAGATATCCATTTGGCCCTTCAATTTCAATTCACGTCTCAGTAGACAAATCTTTGATATGTTGGACATTGTGACAGATGTGGCAGTTCTCACATTCTTGGGAATACCAATTCTAGGACTCGTCGCCGTATGTATATTACAATCAATACTTATTGCCAATAAGTTATTGATTTTTTAAATTAAATATCTACTAAACTAACAATTGTTTGATATGACAGTTAGGGGCGTCGGTAATGGGTCCGGCATTGCAGGCGGCAACGAAGGGCGGCCGCAATAAGAGGTCATTGGATGTCTTGGATCGGACGAAACGAGCGCTCCTTTACGCCCGAAATCTGTTCGATGTTTTGGCAAATCTTGAGGACACGTTCCGGAAGTATGAAATCACTGAATCCGAGTGTCAATTGAAAGCTGTCTGCGAGGCCCACAAGAAGAGCACAAATTTGAATCCTAAATATCACAACTTTGGCACTCAAATAGTTGATCTCATCAGGTATTAATCGATACCTAATTAGTTGCTATAATTACATTTTTCATGTATTAAATTTTACATTCAATTGTTTTTACTTGAAGAATGCAAAAGGATTTAGAGGAATATGAAATCATACCCTTTGCCAAAATTATTTTTGGTCAATACGCCGATGCGGCCACTTATGGTATGTCTCATACACTTCATAATACAATTAATTACACTATATTTAGTTATAAAATAACTTAGTTATGACAAACATTATATCAATAACTTTTAAGTAAATTGTAATACACTTTTCAATTTAAATCAATAGGTAATGAAGACAATGACTGCGATATGGTTTACAGCCGGTGTTCTCATAACTTAAACGATATCCTCAATGAAAGCGTAAAACCAAAGACTGAGAACGAAAGCATTTTGTAATTTATTATTTAAAACATTATTAAATCTCAATTTCATTATTTATTTATTTTTCATGAATACTCATTATTTATTACTTCATTATTATAATCATGTTTTGAATGGAAGGCTTAATATTTGATAAAGAATATTTAAATTTAAATAATATGTTAATTTAATATAAGTTGCTCTACATATAAAGTGCTGAAAGTTGCAAAAATCAAAATATTGTAAATTTACTAAATTTGTTAAAAATAATTTTATGTATTACCATATACGGTTATTATTCAAATTTAAAATATTTGTTAAATTGTTAATTTTCTTAATACATGTATCAAAATTTACATTTCAAATTATATGTAATAATTTATTACTAATAAATACCTACTTTTAAAACCATATCTTCTAAATTAATTACGGTAAATTACCTGTATTTCCCTTAAAATATCATTATTTTCATGTAATGTAACTAGATTAAAATGTTTTACTATTTGAAATATGTATTGATACAAACCTAGATGCAAGGATGTGGTCAATAATACATATGTACAGTATTGTCAAGGTATTCTCAGCATCCCTAATCGATACTAATTTCATAACAAAGATCCAATGAATTAATGATTGTCATTGTTATGTCTACTCAATAAGAAATGTCCAATGAAAATAAACCTGTAAATGAATTTATGTTTTATATTTATCTAACAATTGTAAGAACTATTAATACTTTTTACTATTTAATACATTTTGTTAAACTTTTTTTTTTATAAATATGGATTGATAAGATAAATATAGCAAAATTGATAAGCTTCATGAAACACAAAACTTTTTCAAAGTAAAAACTAAATTCAATATGAATTCAATATTATCCAAACACTAACATTAAAACAAAACTAACTAAAGTCTTAAATGAAAAAATAATGAATAATAAATTGATATTATTATATCGTTTAGTTTAAATTTAAAACATTAAATCACATCCTGTAGGGGTATATAAACAACTAATGTATTGATTATATATAAGACAATTCTTATTAGAATTCAAGCGTAAAATAATTGAAATAAATTAAACTCGTGTTCAGTAAAAAACATAATGTATTGTTATTGGATTGCAATGTAATTAAAGTGTATGGGAATAATGTAAATATATTACAGTAGACTACAAACGGCAAAACAAACTCAAATATGTGACGGATAGACGGATGGGGATTACAAGTTAGGGGTCGGTCTGTGTTGGGAACCCTGGCATCGGTGCCCTTGAAAGCGGTTTGTGTTAGATTGTGATAGTTGTTGTAATGTTGTTGTGGGTCAGTCCGGTCATCGACATTATATAATGCAAAACATGTTTATTTACGTCACTAATGCCTTCCGCATAGTTTAGACACTCAAACACTTCTAATTATTTAAATTGTCTTTACTTTACTTTACTATCTCTTATATACACTACACTATAATTAAGGAATTTCTGCCTTTTCTTGTAATTTAAAATTTGAAGTTAAAGCGAATCCCAAACTATTCTTTATAACTAATTATTTTGTTGACTAACTTTTCAATACAATTACATCTGTGTTTGAATTATTTGTGAACTAAAGACACGATTAGTGTTTGTTTCAGACAATTAACTTATTCAACATATATTTTGCAGAATAAACTATATAATGTACAAAAATGATTTAGTACATAATTTACAAATAACGAATATTTTAATTTTAAAAAATTTAATCAAAAATCAATTTATGATAAAACATAAAAATATAATAAAATGATACATTAATTGTTGCATTAAGTGTTTAACTGAAATTTAAGTATCGTTTAGTGGTTATGACATAATAAATAGGAAATAAATAATTGCAATGCAATAAAATGTATAATAAATAAAAACTTATGACAAGCAAATCAATGGTGAAAAAGTGTGTTCATTATGTTTTCACTCTTCTGTTGGCATTGGAATCACTGGAAGCGATGGAAGTGTAGTTCGCTTTGTCTTTCTCTCGAATCGCTTCAACATTTGACGCTCTCTTCAAACCATTGAATTCCTTAATTTTGTCAAAAGCGTTGTTTAATGTGTTTTGATTGTAGTATTTGTTAATAGTTTCTATGGTATCGGAGTCCAGATTGGCGTAAAGACTTTGCAGTTTCATTGTGTCGTTCAGTACTTTGGGATCCGAGTCAACAGTAAAGGACGAGTAGACTTGAGGTGAGTAGGGATTGGGAACCGTTTCTGGGGCTCCATTATTGCCTATTCTGTTGTGTTTGACATTAACTTTTGGATTTGAATTTCTGTTTTCTAACATATTTATCATCTGCTGATAAACGCCAGAATTTCCCGTCGGATCCATATCTGAATACTTTTGATTATTTTGTGGGAATAATACGTGTTGTTGTTGTTGTTGCTGTTGTTGAGGCATTTGTTGAGGATTTTGCATGTATTGGTTCCCAAAGCCAACTCTCTTCTTATCGGAGACTGCATTGGGATCCCTCTGCGGTGGCGGCCATATGGGGTGCTCAGGAGGGAAACGACCCACAGGAGGATCGGGGAGCGCCGGCACTGGCATTGGAGACACTATTGTGTTTTACAACATTTCAATTACTTGTTGTAATATAAAAAATAATCAATTTTGTATAAATACCTGGAGATTCATAGAAGGCGAGCATCGCTACCACTCCGGCCAATACAGAGATGGCATAAACGGCTGACGTTAACGGCTTACTGAATACTGAACGGACAGACGACTCGATTCCGGCTAAACATTGCAATAAATGAACAAATATTAAATAAAATTAGTTTTCTCAGAATTAGAGCAACAAAAACGATGTCTTACAGCGGAAAAAGTCGCTGTCTTTGAATTTCATGACATTGCTTATAACGGATACGATTAGGTTTTCACTGGCACTGGGATTGTGGTTCTCGCGGGCCTTCACTTCATTCTTGTCTTTGCACTGAACTAAGAGAACACTCAGTAATAAAAAGCAAAACAAAACAAATTGAAACTTTAATTTGCGATTCATCTCAACAAATAAGTTTCAGTCAGTGTTCACTCAAATGCTGAACACTTTAAATGAAAAAGTTTTTTCAAATAACGTAAGAATATCTGTGAAGAGAGAGAATCGACTTTATTTTTGAGGTCAAGTATTATACAATCAGATTGGCTGACATCGCATGCAATAAAACTGGATTTTAATCGTTTAAATTAATATTTGGCAACTGTTTTGAAACTATTTTTGAGGCAATCTTTCAAATCACACCAAATAAATACATTCCTTATTATGAACTCTCTATAAATATATTCTTATTTTTTTAAACCCATAATACAGTTATAATTATTTTTATTAATATTTAATAAATTATTCATTTGCTATTTTAAATAGGCATAACTTATGTTATTCTTTGCAGTTACAGTAACACTCTATTGTTTAAGATAATGTTTAAATGTTCTAGATAATTAAAACATGTTTAATATTTAAATTAACTTTAAAAATATCTTTGCTAGTTTTATACAAATACAGGTACAGAATATACAGATATACTGTACAGTATACAAAACCAAACCTCATGGAAGTTTAAAAATAAAGTTTAGTGCAATCCTTTCCAATACTACTGTATAGTAAATCAAATGCCCGTGGTGATTTTGACAACATGTTAAGATACATGTATATCAATCAACCAATGAATCCAGTTTTACATTTTAAACATTTCCAGAAAGTTTGTAATAAAAATTCTTTGATTGCAATCTTAACATAAGAGCAACATTTGAATGCAATTTGTAAATGTCATTCATATAATTCCGGTCAACAAATGTCATAAACAGTGAAAGCCCTGTTATATCAATTGTATTCTACTGTATATTAACTGGAAATATGCAATACCTTATATTGTAATACTGTATATTAAAAATGTCAAATCATTCCATATTTTAGTTAAATATAGTTAAAACAATTAAAATAAATATGTTTTTTCAAATATCGTGTGTCTATTTTGTAGGTCTTCTAAAGAGTTGTATTGAATGTCAATCTATAGAATCAATCTTTAGTTCATTAGTTCATTGAGGAAATTCTCATTTCAATCATTATTCTTATAGTAACTTATGTAAAAATATTCACGTATAAAATATTGTACTAAAATATAACATTTATATTATAAATATTATATTGTAATTTATAAATGATATTTAAATATCCTTATGAATCATAAGTTGTGATCATCAAAATAGATACTGTCAAACCTATTCATATGAAACAGCTTTTTACAAACCAATGGTTTGAGAGTATTGGGAGAACTCTATAAGAAAGTTACTAAAAGTGTGGATTAGCTATGGATTAGTATGGATTAAATCCATTCCGGTTTAAAATGTTATTTAGTTTGATTTGAAGGAAGTATCCTTTATTACATTTTCATAATTGTTCACATTTGAATTATTTAAATTTTAAAAATGAAATTAACCACAAGTTTTTATTTAATAATGATGTGTAAAATGAGCTTTACTTTTGGACATAGAAGTGAGACTTTTGATCATAATTTTAATCAAATGGAAAGTAAATACTTATTAAATGGATTGGAATCGAGACAAATGGGAGACAACGGACAAAGTATTTTTGACAATACGTTCGCTCAGGCGATGCTTCGGTTCGTTCACTAATTGCTTCATATATTGATAAATTCAAATTTAAAGTGTATTTCAATCCACAGTTTAATAGTTCCCTTTCCAATGCCAATAATACCAAATCCTTACCGAAAAGTTAACCTCACATCTGGTCCTCCGCCACGAGTTCGACGCAAACGAACCCTATTTTATGAAGACATGGAAGTTGTGGTTCACCTCCAGTTCATATTTCCATATCTTTTTCCCAATTAGTTATAACTTATAACTATATGAATATTATTTTTTTAAATTCGCAAACTTATAAAATAAGTAAAATCACAAACAATTGCCAATTAATTTAGTTTTCGATTTTCATTTTATTAAACAATTTAATTACAATTAATGTAATAATTAATACATTGTTATAATTAGTCTATTTGAATGGGAAAGGCATGAGTGCTCTAACAGTCGGCAAAGTATTGAAATATTGTCCTAAAAACAAGTCGAGAAAGAATGAGAGAAATACTTTGACCAAACGGAAGGCCAATACATTCCACTTAGCCTTTCCAACGGCCGTTGATATGAAATCAAGTACTCCTAAATGTTTGGGCGAATTGTCTCTATTGTCTTCATACCAATATCTCTTCAAATCTTTGTTAGAAATTGCGGTTTGACTGCCATTTGTTGGTCGCGTTTGCATTTGTTTGTTGGACACCAAAACAGCATTGATTTCACATATTATTAAATTTAAGTAGACTAATAAAATCAATTTCATTTGAACAACAATTTAAGCAGAAAAATGTCAACATTAAGACAATTGATTGATTCAAACACTTATTTAATTTATATTTTCTAATGGGAACCCATTTAAGCATCATTTTCATCAGTTTTTGGTAATTCCCAAACAGGAAGCGATTTAATTCTACCTAATCTTTTTTAATCCAAATATTATCGCTTCAAGAATACAATGTAAAGAATTTTAAAGTTTTTAGTATAACTTTATTTGGTATCCAATCTCGCAAAGCGATGGCACAAAAAAAGAGGCCAAAAGTAAATGTATTTGTTGTGATCGGTTGGTCCGAAAGTGACATTTATTGTGTTTAAATATTATAAAGAGATTTATTTATACAAAATAATTGCAATTAAACTAAACTAAAGTATCAATTGATAGAAAATTATAATTAATACAAATCACTGAAATCTCTTTCTCTGAGTTTAACGTCGAAATAAAAATACAAATATTTAAACGAATTGTGACTTGAAATACAAAACAATCCAAATAATTGCTCTAAAAAATCCTAACTCAATACTATTGCCTCTTTTTGACGGCCTTAACCTTCGATGTCTGGGCTTTTGGTCCCGTAAACAGACTGGTCATCATCTCCGAGAGCTCCGGGACATCGTATTTAGGCATTTGAATGTTTTGCATCTCCTGTTACACAGCATTGCAATCAAACACACAATTAATGACTCAATAAATAGCAAATCAAATGTGATGTGAATGTAAGTACCCGTTGAGTGTCGGCGTCGGCCGCGTTCATCATTTTGGGCAAAACCATAATGAGAAAGAGTGGCAAAACCATCATCAGAACCATCGGATTCAACAGGAAGTCCGTCACTTTCCAGGTCTCGCGAATCTGGAAGTACTTGAACTGACCTTTGCTTTTGAATTTGAGAGGATATGGCAACTGTTGAACGGCCGACGTCTGGATGTAATTCACTTTTCGCGCCCGGATTTTGCCCTTCGAGTTGATGTCCACACGAATCGGTTCGTAAAAGTACTCCGGATTCGAGATTTCCATCAAATAAGAGCCGGGAATCAAATGAGTGACCGAAAAGGAGCCGTCGTTTCTGTCCATACATTATGTGATCGTATGATTGGTGTCTTGTAATCGTGTTATCATTTGAGTGCATACCTGAGGAAAGCGAAGTGTTGTCCATAATTGACGATAATCTTGGTATTCCTCAGGAAGTCGTTCATGGATTCAGTCATATCTGAATAGGGAATCACTTTGCCGTCGATGGCGTAAAACCGGTTGTTATTGTCCTGTAATTCATTGCTTTGGCTTTCAATGCAATAGATTTGCGTCAAAACTAATAGCGATATCAATACTAAGCACTCGTTTGAATGCATTTCAATCAACACTTAATTGTAATCAAATCTAAGCACTAATTGTTGTGAAAATCGCTTCACATTTCACTGTAAATAACAAAACAACAAATCGTGTCATAAATTACGTCCACTTTTTGGCACTTTTATTAAAATAGTTATAAATTAAAACAATTTAATCATTAAATTCATAATAATATTGAAAATTAAACGATAAGTGGTTTGCAATAATAGTGATTGCGATTAACGTCTTAAACATGTGTTGATATGAATGGTTACCACAGATGGAGATGAAGGCCATAACCATAGAAGACGTGCAGACAATACATGTCAACAAATAGTCGATTATTTCAACACATTTTTTTCAAACTATTTATTTTGACTAAACATTTAAAATACTCTTAAATTGTAATCAAAATCATTGGTTAAATGATTGGTATTTTGTGGTAACAATTGGTTGTGATTTCGTGCGGACATAACACAAGTGACCAAATCCTGGAACCGATGATGAGTTCGAGTCCATTGCCAGAGCCGGTGACCACTCGTATGCGTCAAAGACATAGGACTGAGTCCATGAAAGCGATGGACAAATGTCATCAATACGTGACCCGACTCTTCCGCTTCGGTCACATGGACTTCGAGTTCGCCGTTTGGCAAATGATTTACCTCTTCGTGTCGCCCAAAAAAGTGTCAGTCATTGACAAATCACACATTGAATGCATTGACACCCACTTTACTAATTGACAACTGTTTTGTTGGATTCACTAATAGTTACCGCAATTTCCAGTACCGGAAGCAGACGAAGAACCAGTTCGCTCGCGACGACCCGGCGTTTCTGCTGCTGCTCTTCGTGTGGTTTGTCATCTCAGCCACTGGTCTCTCATTGGCCCTCAAACTACACTTCTTGGGTTTCGTGAAGTTCTTGTTTTGGGTCGTATTCATCGACTGTGTACTCGTGGGCGCACTCGTGGCCACACTCTTCTGGTTCGTCACCAATCGATACATGCGGTCGTCGGACACGGAGGACGTCGAGTGGGGCTACGCTTTCGACGTTCATCTCAACGCCTTTTTCCCACCGCTTCTTATTCTGCATGTGTTTCAGCTCTTCTTCTATAACGGTATGATTGATGACTGCTTTCCGATGCAAACCATTGATTGATTGATTGAATAATGAATTGTCTTTAGTGTTCATAAGTGAGGACTACTTCATAGCGCGACTCTTTGGCAACACATTATGGATGATATCCGTCACGTATTACTGTTACATAACATTTCTTGGCTATAGTTGTCTCGCAATCGTGAGACACACCCAAACAATACTATACCCATTGGTTCCGCTATTCTTCGTGTATTTGGTGTCAATCATCGCCGGAATCAATGTCTGTAGAGTTATGATGGATTTCTATCACTACAGAGTCTACTAATATGTTGATTGAGTTTGATTTTAATAATTCATTATTTATAAACTTTTTAATAATATATTAATAAATAATAAAATATAGAATATTTTTAATAAAAAACGATCGGAAATCTCAATGTGTTTGTGCTATTTCTGAGAACACGTTCAGCACATCGTCTATAGTGAACAATAGGGTGATGTTAGCGTCCGGATAACATCGTTCAATCATCTCTTGGATTGTCTTATACTGTGTGATGAACTCTTCTTGCATTGAGCGCCAAATCACCTAAAATTTAAATTAAATTTTATATTCTGTATATATCTATAAATTGTGGCAAACATTGGGGAGCATTAGTCCATGAGTTTAGACCAAAGCCTTGTACGTAAGCATTGGTTTTGCATTTTATTATAAACTTCACACATGAAAGTGAATAAAGTTTTGTTTTTGATTTTTCAAAATAAAATGCGACCGAAAATGCTATGACAGAGACAGGGGTGAGTAGGTATGGGACAAACCTGTATGAGATTAGTGTCTGGTTCACACGTGTGTTTCTCCACTTTCCTATACATCTCTTCTAAGCCTTTCTTCACTTCTTTCAAATTGCAATCTTTAATGATTTTTCTCAACTCCTGTTTACTGAAAGCCAATTGGTATCCAATCTCTTCTTCTTTGACGCCTTGCGATACCTTTTGCTGAACGCCTTCGAAGAATATATTCAACTTTTCGAGGGGTCGACCAAAATATCGCTTCACGTAATCCTTAAGCGCTTCTGTGTATCGATTCTTCGCTTCTTTGCGTTCGTTTTCTAAACACGAGATCTTAAGCGTCGATAAAGTAATTTGTAAATAATGATAGTTTTCGAGTCGAATCATCTCTGGAGGTGTTTTGTGGTGCTCTTTACTGATCCGATTGATCGCATCAAACATAGACCGCACTAACACTGTATACCAGCGGTCGATATCTGCTCTCCTTTGGACCGCATTCTTAAATATGTTTTCCGTTTGTTTTGCAAAGATTTCAAACTTCTTAATAAATGGCAAAACTCCACATTTGGGACGTTTCGGAGCCTTTGACTCTTCGATACTGTTTTGTTGCGATTGCATAAAGCGGTCAAAATTTCTCTTCACTTGAATTAATATATTTCCGTACGATTTGGAGAGAAAGGATGCCGTGTCTTGAGCTGAGAGCACGTGATGCGTGAGCCGTACCAACAAATACATAGAGTAGAGTCCGTCTAATTTATCATAAAATGTGGCAAAACTGATAAATTCTGGTTCGAGAGCAGTGAACAACTCTGTCATCATTGGTCTGATTTGTTCGTTTCGTTTAGAGTCTGTTTCACTACTGCCTTGACTTTGATTCGATGGCGAAGGACTCGAACAGATGGATGTGTTGGTCGGCGCCGGAACGCCAGCGCTTATGTCTAAATCAAAGAATTCAATGCAAAACTGTTGTTCAGACAAACAGATGGGATCGACAGCCGATAGCATGCGTTCAATGCAAGTGTCAAACTCTTCCCATTCGCTTAAACTGATTTCTGAACTCCGAGTGGAAGAGGTTTCGAAGTGATCGGCGTTAGAGGCGGGCGTCGAACCGGTCGTCGAACCAGAATTTCGACGGTTAGAGCCTTCACTCGATGGTAACGTTCGTCTCCTGTGGTCCGGGTTTTGAGGCGGAGTACTGTTTCCCGACACATACCGACCGCCAGAGAGACGCTCTTTTGATATCTCGAAAAATAGACTCAATTCTCTCTCGTATTGCTTGCTTACGAAATCCCTATAATTTTTGGCCAAATGAGCAAATATTTCGGTGTCATTAGTCTTCAGCCACTTTACTAAAGGACTGTAAGGTCTGATTGTATTGTGAACCACAGAATGAGATGGAAGTGTCAACTCTTCACGAGATATAACCGATAAGAAGTGATCGCTGTATTGATTAGTCAAATGGGAGAACAGATTATTCAAATGGTGCGAAAGTCTGGATGAAAATCGATTACAAGTCCTGTTGAGTAGTTTTCTCTGTTCCTGGACTGCAGTCATGTATGAGAGCGACGGATGTATATCAGCGTTGAGTGCTTTTTGTAAGTCATTCGCCGCTGATATACACAAAGCGATGCCGTTTTTGGTGGTCAGGTCTCCCTCCAGAAGGCATTCTTCGGATCTTTTAGGAAAATCCAATTGATTAATAAGAAACTCCAATTCGAGCAATAGTTTAGTGTTATTGTCGTTCTGTGTCTGAACGACGGCCTCCTTCTGCTCGACCTGAAGGACAACATCCCTCACATTCTTCAGCAGATTCTCGTAGTGACCGATTCTGGTCTCCAGTTTCAGTGTCTCGTCGATCGCGTTCTGAAGGATTTGCATTAAACCCAAAACCCGTTGCTCTGAAGCCATAATATTCTGAATGTTAGTCGAGTCCATGGAATTGACTTCTTTGGTGAGCTGTTCGGTGAAGGCCTCGGCGTTATGTATAGTGAACTCGCACTGAGACATCAGACGCTCCAGATCTGCCTCTTCGCGACTCGTCAGCACCTGATATGACTCCTCGTCTTCACTCATGTAGTCATTTGACTGACTATTGTCTTCATTGTTGCCATTAATGGCCATTCGTTTCATTTCTAAACTCTCGGCCGAAATGAGCGACTCTTTGGGTATATTCAAGAATTGGATTCTTTGCGGCGAAGAGTTCTGTGACGACAATCGCGTCAACCATTGAATGAACGAATACTTGTCGTTAAGACTATTAGCCATCCATTTGTAGACCTGTTTGTTGTTATGGAAGTGGAGCTCAAACTCCGGAGAGTCGGCCGCCGATTGGCCGCACTTCGCGTCCACCACTCGGAGGTCACTCAACGGCCAGTTCTTGTGTTTGCGGAAGTATTGGTCCGTCTTTTTAATCAAATAGATAACGACATTGCGTTTCAAGTCATTCAATACGATCGTCAAGAAGTAGATCTTCTTCTTCTTCGCCGCTTTCGTCACTCCTATGAATGTCATCAGTCTTTCGTCGTTGTGTTGGAAGACATCCCTCTGGAGTGTCAGACCTATTGTGGCCATCGTTGACACAATCGATAGCAACGATTATCGCAATCAGTCTTATAATCAATCACTAAATCAGTGATTAAATCAATGAGTGGTTCAGTCAATGATGTCTTCACTCAAACACCCATTCAATGCATACAAACAATGGTTCAAACCATAAATGCTGTCTTATATACACCACTCATATTCTGTATTCGCTTCACTGCAATGACTCCAATGGCTCATAACGTTTGGCAATCTTTAACTCATAAACTATTTGCTAAACAGTGAAGCGAACACTTAATATTAAGGCGTTAAATCTATAGCTTAAAAATAAGTAAAAGTTATGGAAATAATGATTTTAATTTATTACTCTATATTATAAGAACTTCTTATTAAGAAGTTAAATATTATTTAATTATTAATTTATAAAACCAACAAAGAAATTACAAATTGAATGTTTATATCATTTATAAATTAATGAAGTATGCATCTAAATCAGGCTAACTATATGTGAATTTGACAGTTTTATTCCATAATATGACCATTGTAAATTATGCCAAAATTACCAGCTTAATTGTTCGGTGCAAATACCGTGAATTATATTATTATTAATTAATATGAATTATAATATTTTGAATCATTGGTAGTAATTGAGAATAACGTTAAAACTCATTTATGGCATTAAACATATGAATTGACAAATGTATTTAAACACATGAAATAAACTTAAAAACACTAATTTTTGTAATTTTTATATCAAATGCTATGAAATAGATAAAAATAAGTTTTAATATTATTTTCAATTACTACGAATACTTCAAAAGAATAATATTCATATTATTTGTATTTGTTATATGTATATCTAAAAAGCATTTTGAAGCAAAAGTTACATTTAAATAAATGTATATAAGGGTTTTCTAACAAATTATAAACTATTTGTTAGCAAACATACTCTAATTTATTATTAAAATTATTATTATTTAAAATAATTTACTTTATAAAAGACTAATTAAAAGTTACTAGTTTTTAAATATACAAATACTGTATATCGTTTAATTACATATTGGTCAATTTTAAGTAATAAAAAAAATTAATGCTAACGTTATATCAATTTTCATATTCAACAGTTTATTTTAGTTATTCTTTAAAGGTTCTTACCATGAAATGATATAGCTTAAATTTTAATCATGTTTTGGTAAATCTATCATTAGTAACTTTTATGCTTTAAATGCTGTTATGTTTATGCTTTTATGCTGTAAATTTAGAAAATTTCTTTTTAAAACTTTAAACATGTTCAACAAATATTCAACATTTTAAACAAATATATGAATTGATATAAAAGAGTAAATAAGTTAGTTATACGGCCGGTCTGTTTGTCTGTTTGTAGATAATATCAATGTTTATTCCAATGTATTGATAACTAAAGTCTCAAAACAATGATAAACATATTTGATAAGTAAAAGAATTCATTGAATGCATGTAAAAGAGAATTGTATATCTTATATTGCTTTTATTACTGTCTTTGTATTAATGTGTTGTCCACTTTGTTATATTTAAATGTAAATTGGCATCAAATGTATACTAAAATATATTGAAAATTATTCGCTGTTTAATATTTATTAAATATTTCGTTGATTTCAAAATATAGCCATTAATATATTGAAAATCAAGTATTAATAGTATACTGTATTGCTATACAGTATGTAAACTAACTTATATAATAATAATAATTTCTAATATAGTCTAGATTGTAAGGTATATTATTATAAGTTTAAGGTACTTTTAATTATTAAATTTTGTTTTAAATTAAGCATTTTATGCATGTTGTGAATCAGGTAGACCTTGATCCTTTATTTTCAATAAACGAAAACATTTAAAATTCATGTAAACATATCTAAAACATGTTATTTAAATAGAAATTATTTATAACATAATAGATATGCAAACAATTAATTACAAACAAATAATAGTAATTAAATAATTAGCCGTGAAATTGAAATTAGAAATGTTCTCAAATTCCCATTTTATTTACGGTTTTAATTGAAATGTTTTTCTTCATTCATCGACTTTACGTTTTTTATATAAATTATAATTTTAATGAGTCTTTTGAAAAACTAATATTTAGAGCAAAACAATTTCCGATTCCTTTACAATGTTGTCAATTGTTTTTATAACTTATTAACAAAAAGTTATGTAATAATTGTATTTTTAGATACAACTAATTACATGTGTTGTGCAATTCTAAGTGAAATTATGTTTTAATTAATTATAAAAATACTGAATAACATAACATGAGCTCAAAAAATAATTATTATATAGAAATTGAATTCAAGATTATATTCCAATTGAAAGAATATACTAACCATAGCTAACCTATTACTCTAATTTTTGTCTATACGTTATATTATTATGCCATATATTATACACAACTGTTGCCACTTTCTATACTACCATATAATTTGAAAATACTTTTCTATACTTTCAATTGCTTAATGAATATTATTATTGTCAGTAATAATATTTTTAATCAATTAATTTTAATCGATAATATCAAAAACAATGCATTTGAAGGCTTTAAACATTTCATTAACGTATCATCTTTTATACAGATTTGGCAATAATTTCTTTAAATAATAATTACAATTGCAGTCATCCCTGGAAATAGCAATTAATGTAAACAATATTTGATTTCAAATTCCTTGTGAATTATAAACATATAAATAAATAGATAGTAAAATAGACATAGAAAATAAACATAGAAAAAAAGTTTTATCAAAACCCAAATAGACTGCGGTTTAAAAGTGAGAAACTTTTTACTCGTTGTAATAAAATACTTAAATTTTGCTGTTTTCTGGTTTTCTCGTAGAGTTTGTTCTGTTTTACATATAATGATAAGAAAAGCCATAACTCAATGGAGGAGAAGAAGAGTGGGGGACAAGGAGTAGGCAATGATTGGTCATTTGGCACTCTCTCTGGGCTTCTAACAGCCTAATAGTGAGTGCATCACTAATACCCACTGGAGCTCAAACTTTAGCACACAGTGAGAGTACGAGAGTAACAAAAACAGACATCTCTTTATGGTTTGAATATCAATAGTAAAGAGCGTCATATAAATGAGTTTTTGAAAGCCATGGCATGACTACAGCCCCCAAAGCAGTGCCCAAAACAAGCCTGCGATGAGAGTGTAGTGAGAGGTGAAAGCACTGCAAACTTGAAGCCTAGAAGAGCTCCTGAGGCTCTCTGTGGAATCGGCCACTGCTTACCATTGCTTACACCACTGCCTATAGTCCCTAATATACGCCCTTCAAAGATATTTGCAACCGAAATGTCACAAACAAAGGTTACAAACATTTTGTTTATGTATTTTTGAATATTATGTGACCAAACGTTTTCATTTATATCAAAACCAATTCTCATATCTACTATATTATACAGTAGTGGACATAATATGTTGGACTTCTTGTTCGGCTCGTGTAGCTCTTGTACGGGAGAAACGCTGGAAATATCACACGAAATGAATTCCCAAAATGAATCTCAAGGCGAAGCCGAGACCACCACTACTATAATGTTGGATAAAAGTATGGATAGGAGTAAAGTTTGCACCAAAAAAGTTCACAGACATTATGCGAGGTATGCCATCATTTTGTGAATCGTATATTTTTCCATAAGTTTTATTAAATTTAAAATTCGGAGAAATTGTTTCAAACTTTTTTATTATCGCTTTTTATTTTCAAATATTGATAAAAGAAAATAATGTGTTGTTTCGGATAATATTTGTCTTTAAACAAAAATAAAAAAGTCTTTTGCAAAGAAAAAACACTTTTTTCACAAGTTTTCTGTAGAGAAAACATGTCAAGCAATGCATTGAATCCATTGGTTTTCTAACACACTCTGAATGCTTTGTATATCAGTATCAGTTTAATTAATTTTGATTACTTTATATCAATTGAATTATGGTAAAAAAACTTTTAATTTACTTAATATTATGAGAATTGACCCCTCATTGTATCGGACAATGTATTGAAAATCTATTTTCACTGAACTTGAAATTCTGGTCTCAATTGGTATATAAATTACATTATTTTTTATATTTGCTATTAATATAAAGAATAATTAATATTTAGCCAAAAATTATAAAATAAATGTATAATAAGAAAGTAAACAATTGAAAGAAATAAATATGTATTGACAACAATGCTTAAAACGGTGTATATAAGTCTTAATGACATTGCATTGGCAGTCAGTCTATGTCTAAACCGTTGACCCAATTGGTAGACAAGTGTTCACAACAGAGAACTTGTCTCACTTTTAGTTCAGTCAATGAAAGTGAAAGTGAAGTGCGAATGGTTTGAACAAAATTACTATTATATTCCTCAGGGAATCTCTTCTAAGGTAAGTATCATTTACTGCTCATTATGTGTGTCTCGTCTTCACTCCCGATAACACTTCCGTTTTGTTTGTTTGTAAACAATTGTCCATAAAGTCTATTGATATCCTATTTAGTTGATTACAATTAAGTGCTTTCGATAACACTTTAAATAATAAGCCAAAGAATATTCAACACATGTTTAAGTTTTAGTTTATTTAACGAGAGAATAAGTTATTTTCGCTATAATTTGAATAAAACAACTATAAATATAAAACAAATATAAATAACATCAAGAAATTAAATTGATATAAAAACAATTTAGTCAAAAGTATACTTAAAATCTTAAATATTTACTCATTAAATATTTATCAATTGATTAAATGTACTGAATTTCATTTTATGAGAGTTTGAATATTGTTTTTACAGATGTATTGTAAAATAATTATCTTAATCAAATGATATATTTTGCAAAATAGCTAAAATAAATATCTAATTTATTTGGACTAATCTATCAATATTGTATATTTTTACATTGTTTATATGATACTAGATAATTTATTGATTGGAGGAATATGCTTCTAATAAAACAATCTTGTTTATATTATGCTTGTTTATTTTAAGGGACAGCTGGTCCTTATTATCAAGCTATTTATAAAATTTTGCTTACGAAATTTTGTCAGAGATAGAAATTACATATTGGTAAACAAATTTACTAAATTAGAAAATTAATTTTTATAATTTTTAACTAATAGTAAATTATTTATGTAATTTGCAGATTTGTTAAATTTATATAGATTTGTTATATAATTGTTGTAACTTATATCCAATTTAAATCAAAATTGTAAACACATGATGAAAAATTAGTATATTCAATATAAAATTATGTAAGCACATGTTAATTAATTTTAATTAATTATATGCAAAATATTTTTATGAAATACTCTACAATTTTATTTGTTTGTAGCCTAAAGTCATTTAAAATTAAATGTTAATAAATATATTTATCTAAATTATTTCTTATAGTTTGAATAAAAGTGAGGACATTTCTAAACTATTTTAGACATCAAATATTTTCTGAAGTTTAAAAAATATATAAAAGTTTTTATAAGAAATGTAAAGTAATTACTGTCGAGTTTTATTGCTATTATTCTGTTAAGCACTTACAAAAAAATATATATATTATAAGATATAACACTTATGAATAACTCAAAAGCAGCAAAACATATCATACATGTATTTATAAGTTAAAGAAGTTAAAAGTAATAACTAGAAGTTTTATTGTAATGATTGATTTCCTGTTAGATTTATGTGTAAAATTAAATACAAAGGGTTATTACAAATTCTATAAGATTTGTTTTACATTTCAAAAAAGTTAGTAATTTTATAAATATAGATGAATTTTAATTAATCAAGATTATTAATAATATTATAATAAATAATACTTATATATTTATATCACAAAAATTAATTAACATATATGGATTTATTTTATATAAATTGAAATAGAATAATTTATATTTATTTTCATTGGCTAGTATAAAATATTAATTTATATAAATTAATTTTTAAAAATAATTGTCATTAATTGTTTCGCAAATCCATTTCGAATTTAGACTATATTTGAGTGATTTAAACTAAATTAAATGATTGTAAATAATTACAAGACTATATTTTATACAACATTACAAGTGTAGCGATGATTGCCTTGAAATGAAACTTTTACTGCATTTGTGCTCACATTTAAAGCAGAAATGATTTGAAAAACATTTTCTTTTGGCAAAAATGGAAATTTGACGACAAATTGACTTAGAGTTAACAAAAAACTAATAAAATGTTTACAAATAATTTATTTACAAACGAAATACAATGTATGTATGAATGAGTAAACCCTAAGAATTCACAATAAATGTCAAGAGCAAAGAGTATATGTGTTTTACTTCAAAATTAGTTTACATCTAATTTATATCAATACTTTACTTAAATGATCGCATATTACAATGAATTCACACAAAATTCATGTTGCTTTATATGAAAACAATTTATTACAACACAAATACTATAACAAAAATAGTATAAAGAAAATTAAAAAAAGGATATTTTCTCAGATGACAATCACTTGAATTCCGGTCTAATGTTTGTATTTATTTAAACACATTTTAATGCATTACACAAAATAAGTCAAACATGTCTATAGTTTTCTTTATAATATAGACATGTTTAGAGAACTAGTTATAATTATAATTTGTAACTGTTTTTACATTTTAAAATGTTATCGATGTAATTAATGTTTTTGTTGACTAACGGAATACTATAATAATCTGATGCTATAATCAGAAGTTTATTTATAGTGAAATCATAATGAGATTTGTAAACAAAATTTGAATTAAAAGTGAGAACACATTAGTATCGACTGATTGTCTATTAGTGAACACAATTGAGGCCAATGTAATCAAATGAGTTTGCAGTCAATTGGATGTATTGGAGCGTCAAATAGATGTTTGGGTCACAAAACACATAACAGTACCCACTCTTACCACTCTTTCCATAGGCACAGATACTATGCAACCGGCAGTACAGCCACAACGGGCTGGTAGTCTCAGTTCATTGATCAGTAATAATAGCGAAGGGAACTGCAAATTCAGTCTTTACAAGCTATGTCTCAGCAGAAGCTCTTTCGATTTGGACAGAACTTCCAACAGTCATCTGCCAAAGAACTCAAAGTCGGTATTTCTCCTCTTAGGGCCAATCATGACATTATAGGGGCTTAAGTGTGGTTTGGGTCGACTTATGAGCTGTTATCAAACTTATCGATAAACTAAACTAAACTAGATTAATGTTTAGTAATCAAAATTTGATTACTTTTTAGCAAAATCAAATTCATAACTGCATTTTTATTTGTTTTATCAATTTTCTAATTGTATTTTCTGTTACATAAAAAATATCATCGGTTTATAATTAGAGAGACGCCTAATTAGGCGTGACTTATAATGTGGTATGAATTGAATTATTATATGACATAACAGTCAATATTTTTATTCAATAGTATTGTAAAAAATATTACATAATTTTTTATTAGTTTTTTATTGTAAGCCTACAACTCATTGACAACTCAAACCGCATTTATTGCCCTTATTTTTTAAAATAAATTTCAATGAAAAAATTTCTCCGGAGTTTAAATTCATTAAACTTTGCGTTAATTACTGTTTTAATTTCAAGGACACAATCTTTGTTTGTTTCTAAGTTTAAGGATAATATTGATTGCAATGTATTTATAGGACTGCGGCCTTTATAGTGACCAGTTCTATATACGGCCAGTTGTTGGTTGTCGTGTGTCTGGCTTTCTTTACCGCAGAGATAGTAACGCCACAAATACCAAGATTTTACTTTGAGGTGTGTATATAACTAAAGCATAACTGTTATACTATTATTACCGTTACATTTGATTTATACGCTAATGATTACTCTTTCCGATTTACAGGGCTTTTATCTCTATTTATATTCTGTGAGTCTATTATTTCTACTCTATGTCTACATCTATCTGTTGAATGACGTCCCGAAGTATGATTCAAGCCGTAAGTGAAGTGAATTATGTATTAGAAGATTGAAATCATTGTCAACGACAATACAGTTCAAGGGTTTTGTAATTTTCTAATTATTTGACGCAATTAATGACAGGACTTAAACCTTCAAATGGGAAAATGTCTCATAAAATTGGAGAAACAGACAGATCTCACGCTTCAATATTTTTACGAATCGGTGGTATTGTCTTTGGTCTCGGAGTTATGGTCTATAATGGGCTCGAATTTGGAGCATATTTCGAGATTCCCTATTCATCTCCATGTTATTCAGTACTCTTAGGTATATTTAAATTTTATTAACATCTCGATAACAATTACTATAATTGACATTTAATTTTAACAATTTTAATTTAATTAAATGTTAGCACAAGTATAAAAAATGTACATTACTCTTGTTTAATAAATTAAATTAATTTCATTATAGGAGTGAATCCCATACTTCAGGCTGCGTTTACTTTCGCACAAATGTATTTTATATTTACGTATTCGAGATTAATGATCAACAAATTCAAACTAATCGCGAGATTGGGATTAATGCATTTGGTGGGCACTAATTGCTGCGTTTGGATTCGCACTCTCGGCAAAGAAACACTTCTTGTAAGAAACATAAGATTATAAAAACTAATTATATATAAAAATAACTGTTAATTTAGTTACAGTTTAATCAAACATATGCAATTAAAAAATAAATTTATAAAGTTATAATGTTAATTAATATTAATTAATAATTAATAATAAATAATAATGTGCAATTCTGACAATTTTTAAAATTATGTTTTGTATGGATTAGGAGCTGAAAAACGGAACATCGCATCCATTTCTGGAAGAACTGAATTTTCCGCTACGAAATCAATTATCTCGGAGCAGATCCCGAGCCCTTCACGAACCAATTGGTGAATCTCTCGCTAATTCAACGACAATGACTATCAATAAGAGTAATCCGTGTCAAGAAGAAGACGTAATGGGAAACATATTATCGGACGCCTCCCCCTATTTGTACCCATTTATTGTTGAATACTCTCTAATCGGAGCCGCGTTTTTGTATGTCATGTGGTCTACAATAGGCAAAGGAAAGCGCAGTAATCTATGCAATGGTATAGACAGCACATCCACTCCCACGTCAGCAGTTGGTGCCGGTCTTCAGATCGACAACTTAAGTACAACTTCAAGCCATACCTATAGCACGAACTCACCGGCGCTCTACAGTTGTCTCGGATCGAGCAAAGGTATAAAACCGCCATTTATTTTATAATTATTTACAATCAATTTTTATTTAAATTTATTATATTAAATATTTTAAAGGACTATTCAGTGGATTCTTATTTTTGGCCATTTCTGTCACTTCACTCATCATTTTCTTTGTTTTGGTTCATAACCCGAACTATAAACTGATGGCAACTCTTATCAGCGATATTTCCCATTCAGTGCTTTTAATATTGAGTTGTATCGCAATTCTGTTGGGATTTCTTAAGACCAGGCGAATGAAGTTTCAACCGGGTATTTATACATGGCCTAAATATTGGTCTAAAGCCACTGTTTGCTAACACTGTGTGTTCAATGATATAAGGGATATCCGAGACAGCAGATGGTGGTCTACGAGACCTACTGTTGAGGATCGCAGCGTTCGGTCTCTACACGTATTCGCTGTTTGGAGTGATCGCCGGATCGATGGAATTGAATGACATTCGCCACCTCTTGGTTCTCATTACCAGCTCTTTGACTATAATTCAGGTATTTATTCTTTGGCACTAACTTTGGCTTCAAGTGTCAAATACTTGTCAAAATGTGTTTTAATCGCCTCTTTCTTTGCGCTGTTATAACAGATAACACTTCAATCGCTGTTCATATCAGACGTTGTCTGTCGTAAACGCAATTCCCATCAACAACCGGGTCGACAGTTGATCACGTTTTTGCTCATCAATAACCTGACGCTTTGGATCGTATATACGTTTGAGATGCAGAAAGTGGAGGCATCGCCCGTACAGCTCAGTGTCTACGGACTCACCACTTGGACTATAATATTGCGGATCACTCTTCCCTTATCTATATTTTATAGATTTCATTCGGCCATCACTTTTGCTGAAGTCTGGAAAAACTCTTATAAATATTAATTTTTAATTTGTTTTTTCCTATCGTCTTCTCATACCATTCTATTATCTTATTTACCATTTTTGTCATTCACTTATCATAAATACATTTGTAAATTGATTTTAAAATCATTCATTTGTAACTTAAATGCCTCATAATATTGCGACAAAACTCATATTTTTTCATTTGAATCCCACTTTGTATCACATTTTTTGATTTAAAATCCAATAAAATAAAGAAAATCAAACAAAAAGTAGTTTTTTATAATACAAACTATGAACAAGATTGCTGCATTTTAATCAATTATTTTGCTCCATAAGATTTAAAATAAATATATCAATTGAAATAAAATCGTAGGATATGTTGAATACTGGACATCGTTATGGACATCGATAAAAAACCATTGAAACAAACATCCCTAGAAATGAAACATATTTTTATTAATGTTCAAAAATTTAACTATATGTTAAAAATGTAATAAACATTTAACATAGGAATACTAAAATAAAAGTAAAAGTAAAACATAGGAATACATTTTACTTTATAAGAAAACTCAAATTTTAATTTTTACAATATTATATAAAAACAGAAATTTAAAAACTAAAATAATTTAGTTATAAATTTAATAACTGTAACGTAAATGGAATGCATTATATAGATAGAGTTATCGAATATTTTAATTTGTCTTAAATTAATAATAAACATTTATAAAATTTTTCTCCAAAAGAATTTTGGATAAAAGAGATTCACAAATAAATTCATATTCTGTCCAAATATAATCAGACCTTTTGTATATTCTAATTATTAATTTAACCAAGGCATTATAAATATTAATGACTTTACCAATTAATGACACGAACGCGACGATCATAAAGGAATAAACATAACCCAATCTATCCATTACTATCTCAAGCATTATAGCTCCTAATATTCCGGTCACAGCCTAAACATTAAGTAAAATTTAAATCACAAAATAAAGTTTATGTTTTGGAATGCATTCCTACAACACCTACCGGTGCTGTAAACAGTAATCCGTAGATAGTGTTGGCGTGTGTCGGGCCATAACATTGGGCCACAACTGCTGGAAAGAGTGAGAATATTCCGGAAAATGAGAAAAATATCACTAAAATCCAAATCATAAAAAACGCTTTTCCGGAAATTGACGATATTATGAACGTAAACATCAAAGCAGACAATAATCCAAACAATATAACAATACAATTCTGTAGGATATATATTAATGTAGAAAATCTGTTAGAAATATTCATTTATTAGTAATTTTATAGAAAAATCACTTTGAAATTATATTTATCAAACAATTTGCCCCAAAATATCCTTCCGACGGCATTATACACGGAGGCCAACGATCCGACTAATGCCAGGTAATGATCGTCGTATTGCAAGTCAATTCCGTATGGCTTTCAATAAACAATAATACATTAAATAATAAATTATTATCTATTTTGTAAAATATGGCACCAATACCTTATATAACGTATTAATGCATTGCATTATTTGATTTCCGATTGCAAACAATATCCATAAAATGTAAAAATTAACAGATTTGAGGGCATCTTTAGGCGTTATATCCGAATGAGTTTGAGATTCGTCTACAATATTCTCAATTGTTTCGTTTGATTCAATTCTCTGTACAAAAGATATATAAAAGATTTTCTTTGTTTTAATTGATTGCATTTTACCACTAAATGTTTGTCGGCGTTAAATATTAACGCGACTCCAATCGCTTGAATCAAACCATAGATAGGACTCAAAATCAAGAAAGTGAGCGGCACTTTCTCGAGAATCAGTTTATTTAAAAAATAGCTATAAATAAATAAAGAAAAATGTTTTATTCATATAAACGTATACATAATTATACTAAACAATACATAGACTTATCGTCTTTAGGCGAGTAATTGTTGGGATTTAAATACAATGTTTGAACTTGGTCGAATATAAGCGCTCCGAGACCAAAGCCCCCGACTGTTATTCCAGTAACAATGCCTTTATTGTTTGGAAACCACTTTATGACAATAAAATGATTATTTAAAAACATTACTTGAATGACAATGCATTAAAGAATATTATCAAAATCCTATTTATTGCATACACTTATTGTTGTTATTAATACTTTTTAGATAGAGATTAAATTTTTGGGTTTATTATATATTTTAAGTTCACTATAAAATGTTATGCATACAAATCACAACTTATATAATCAATAGTAATTATTATTCAAATAATAATTACTTTATATCTTACAGTTCTGTAATTATAGTTTGCATTTTTGTCGCTTATATTAGATTCTGATTTGCACTTAAATATGCAATTGTTTCATACAGTAAAGAATTATACAGAATAATAAGAAGTTGCAATTTTGTTATAATTAAGAATATATTATTTAAGAGTCGAGAGCCCGGAATTGAAGAGAATATAATATTTGTCTAACACTCTCTCACTGTCTCACTCTCTGACCTATTTTGTATTCAACATATCGGGGTAGAGGAGAGCCGGCACTTTAGCACTATGTTGTTCAATGCACTGCTCATACAGTATGTATGTGTTGTTATGTCTCGTATATTATAAGTCTATTTTATCAATAATATCACATTTACTTTCATACTATTAACTAACGGTGCGGCATATGCCAGACCTGAACCCAATGCAGGCATCAAACCATAAGTGATAACAACTAACAAAAAGCTCCACTGAATGCTGAAATATGTTATAGCAGTCGACGCTCTGAAGGGAAAAATTGAGAACAAAAGTGAAACAAAGATTATGTTTATATTTGATAAATAAGAATAAGAGAAATGTTTGAACAGTACGTGAATATCGCACAACCGATTGCACAGGTTATAGATGTGCCAACTTTTCTGTCGAGAATTCCCGCAAAATACATGATTATACCTAAGAATTACGACAATACTATAAATCACAATATCTTACACTAAATGTTCATTTATACACATATTATGAAACAACACAAAGAAAAAACACAAAACATTTTTATATAACACATAATAATAAAACACACAAAACAATAGTCAAGTAATGCATTTAATATAAAACCTGTGCATAAAACAATTTATGTAATAAATCTTTAAGTGTTTATATAAGCTTTAAGTGAATTAATAATTAAAGAGATTCTTATTGTTCTATGTATTTACCCATTCCTGTAATAAAGGCTGTATTGATCCAAATGGCAGAGCTGTAAGTCAGCTCTTTTTCACCATTCATTCTCAAATACGATGTGATATAAGTATTCATATTTCCAATTGTATAGAAAGTCCCGAGAGTTAAATGAATCAAAAAGCCACCAAAAACTGATGAAAATGCCTTAATGTGGGCACTCATTGTAAGGTAGAGTATTGTGGTTTTGATTATTCACAATCTATGCGCTGTATATTAAACGATGAGCTCTTTTAGTGAGACAATTGATGTAGAACTTGGAAAATATGATAATAAAGTTTATATAATAACAATAATAATGCTAAATTCAGTGCATTGTCTTCTGTCCGAAGTAATGGCTATATATTGAGATAATAGAGTAGTGCTGTTAATACTGTTGGCAACAAAAATGAGTTGTTATCACATTCACATCGCTTTCCATTATTAATGTGTTCTGCAATTACTGTCATAAGTTATAATTGAATCAATATGTGAACCGCAAACACGAAGACCTCCACCGACAGCACAACTAATTCAGTAGTGATTGTCTTTTATGGCAACAAATGAATTATTTAGTATTGATTTTGCATCACATCATTGCTCACTACTACCCACTTATGACCACTAATATCTGATTTTAATGTTTTTTCATTATTTCTCATAACTTTAATCACTGTATATGTGCTCTATTTGTCTGCTTTGTGTAAATTAATTGTATTTCAGATTAGATATAATCTGATTAAAAGAATTATTTATAGTATTTCAACGATTTTTGTCTATCATTGAGAGCTATAAACTACCGGTTCATTCATGTGATCATATCTTAAACATTATTCTTTGTTTTTATGACAAGAATTTATATAATAAATACATTTTGAGAAAAGCATTTTCTTAATCAAGTACATTTTGTTGTAAATTATTATTTTTTCTAAATATAAGGTCAATACTACTCTCTTATAAAACAATTATTATATAATCAGTTGATAACGCATTTGTCAAACAATGTTTTGTAATATACAGTACAGGAGTACTGTATTGAGCAAATAGATAATCAAAATAATCGGAGACCTACCTTACAGTAATGTAAACTTGGTAACAATGCAAGCATTAAATTAAAACATATTAATTTATATATTTAACAAGCAGAAATTTTATCATTAACATTTAAAGTATGCATAAGATCTTATTAATTTAATCAAGAAATTATCTGAAGATCGTTTACTTTAATATTAAAATATTAGGCTAATATATTAAAAGTATTTGATATTAAACATAATAAATCACTTTTTCAATTAACTATAATGAATGCTATTATTTGTCACAATCAATGTCTTATTTCAAATTGAATTTTAATGTTTTAGTATAAATTCAGAGTCACATTGAAATTACAGTACAATTAGGATAATAATGGGAACACATGTGGATATTGTGGATACAAGCTTGAAATGGTAATAAATTTTGGGTAAAACTTAGGGTTAATTTGGGTGCAATTGCAGTGATATTTACTGTTATTTACTGATGTTTTGGCAATTGGTTTATTGGGAACAAAACAATTCGGACCACAAGTATAATAGAAAACAAAGTCTATTACACTATTGAAGGAATTCCATTACATATAAGACCTATCACTTCACCTAATTTTTTGACTGCAATGCAGTACACAATGCATTTTATGACTCTCTCTCTCTCTCTCTCTCTCTCTCTCTCTCTCTCTACTATTTAGGCATTTTAGTTCAATTCCGTAGAGCCGTTGATCCGAAATAATGTATTTGCGGAGAACGAAGTGAACAGACATTACATGTTTACACACATGTGTGCCTCTATTGCGAAGAAAAGGTGAATCTATAATATATTAAATTATTCCTCAGATTAAAGTCTATGAAATTTCAATTACTTTAACATTTCATCCATTTTAAGAGAATATGAATTTGAAGAATGTCTTCTCATTTCTTTAAAGATATTTTTATATATTTATAATAATCCTATTCTCAGACGAACACAATCTTTCAATACTTGTTATATATTATTAATATAACCTGTTTTTAAATTGAACTTCAAATGCAATAAAATGAGAGTTATTCTCTCATCAAATCAGAATTGTAATGCAATCAATACTGTTTGCAAAGCAATTTTACCACATTTTCCTCTTCATCTCCATATGATTTTATAAGAACGCAAACAAATTCCTATTTATAAGCAGAATATATTAAATTGTGTTTTTATATTCAAGACTATGTCATAGAGTCTATGGAAATATTAAATCATATGCTCAGTAATTAGTATCGGTTACTATTTTTGAGACAACTTTATTTTACAAAATCAATATTTAAAATTAAAAATTTGAATTTTAGACCCCTTCAATAAATAACAGCAAATTAATAGTTTGTCAAGAAATAATAGCAACTATTATGAGAATAATGTGTATTTAAACATAATTTAATAAAAGCAATCATTTATTTGCCAAAATAAGTCTTAAAATAGTTAATCTGTTTGAAAGTGCTTTTGTTTTGAATGGTTTAATATAGAAAATGATACAATAATTGAATCAATTCTTTAGCAACTGTTCAGCCCTGCAGTCAATATCAGCTGCGAATCATTCCATCAAAACTTTTTTGTATTGAGTTTTAGACATGCGATCAATACTGCAAACACTGCACACCATTTGAAATATAATTAAAAATACAATACTTTAGTTAAAATGGAAATATTGATGAATGCATTATTAAAAACAATTACATAAGAGAGCGGCGATCCCCATATAAACTTTATAATGAATTTATATAATTATATATCACATAATTAATAGGATAAAGAAGTGATTGCAAAGTGTGTATGAGTTGGTTATAGGATTGATGGACTCAATACATCACATGCACCCACACTTATTGACACCATCTCTATATCACGCAATATTAATCGTATTATAGTTTATATTATATAATGCATAAGCCTTAAGAAGAGAGAGAGAGAGAGAGAGAGAGAGAGAGAGAGAAAGCAAGAGAGTGAGGAGAGAGAGACAATTAGAAGTGAGAAACCCTAACATAACTAACACTAAAACATAATCGCCGTATAGTTTGTCAGTCTATCAGTGAGTCTCTCGAGTCTCTCATTCAGTGCCACAAAAACTGCACACAAATAGTTGTCACACAATGTGTGCCAACCATTCACTCCAATAGACCGACCATTTAATGGCTAATTGTCTCTTAATTCCAGACCAAACACTACACAACACTTCACAACACATATCAGTCCAACCATTGCTTTCACACC